AGGATCCCACTCAGGGCTGTGAGGGATTGGGGTCCACCCCGAGCCATGAGGGAACAGGATCCCACTCAGGGCTGTGAGGGATTGGGGTCCACCCCAAGCCATGAGGGAACAGGATCCCACTCAGGGCTGTGAGGGATTGGGTCCACCCTGAGCCATGAGGAAACAGTGTCCTCAGAGCAGGGTTCACCCATAGCCATGAAGGAAACAGGATCTTCTCTGATCCATGAGGGCAAATTCCCTCAGAGCAATGAGGGATCGGGGTTCCACCCAGAGCCATGACGGAACAAGGTCCTCAGAGCCATGAGGGATCAGGGATTCTCTCAGAGCCATGAAGGGTTAGGGGCCCACTTAGAGCTGTGAGGGATCAGGGTCCCATCTGAGCTGTGATGGGCTTGGGGATCCTCTCAGAGCCATGAGGGAACAGGGTCCCCTCACAGCACTGAAGGATCAAGATCCTCTCAGAATTGTGAGGGACTGGAGTCCCCTCAGAGTTGTGAGGGATCAAGGATTCTCTCAGAGTTGTGAGGCACTTGTGGATTCCTTCAGAGCTGTGAGAGTTTGTGGTCCCTGTCCATTTAGGTGGGATATTGGGAAAATTCCTTCCTGGAAAGGGCTGTCCAGCCCTGGCACAGCTGCCCAGGCCAGTGGTGGAGTCCCCATCCCTGAAGGGATTGAAAAGCCATGTGCATGTGGCACCTGGGGACATGGGCCAGTGGTGCCTTGGCAGTGCTGGGAAATTGTTGGACTTGATAGTCAGAAGCCTTTCCCAACTTCAACAGTTCTTTGATTCTGTGATTCCTGCAAGCATCACTCTGCCTGTGCACAGAGACAATCTCAATTCTTCCTCTCAGTCCTGAGGAAGCAGTGCCTTTCTGTGTTACTTCACATTTTGTCCTGAATTCAGGATTCTATTTTGCAATTCAAACAACACAAATCCCAAAATAACTTGGAGATTTGCTACAAATACATGTATTTGTCTCTGAAATTCAGGAGAGCTGGGCTGGAACAGAGAAACCGTGACTGACTGTAAAATACTGCGTCACCTTTGATATCAAAGGCATCTTCAAAAAGTGATGAAACATGTAGCATGTAAAATACAGAAACAGTCCAAAAAGGGGCACCTCAGGTTGTTTGCAGAATAATCCAGCAGTGCTGCTGAGATGATCCCAAACAGAACTCAGGATATTCTGATCACAAGGGAATTGCAAATGTCCCTTCACTGCTTCATGAGGCCACAACTTCCCCGCTTTATCCCAGAATACATCCTGCTCTTATGGAATCCTGGAATGGTTTGGGTGGGACCTTAAAGCTCATCCAGTGCCACTCCCTGCCACGGGCAGGGACATCTTTCACTATCCCACATTGCTCCAAACCCTGTCCAACTTTTCCTTGAACACTTCCAGGGATCCAGGGACAGCCACAGCTTCTTTGGGCACCCTGTGCCAGCGCCTGCCCACCCTCAGCCAGGAATTCCTTCCCAATAACCCACCTAATCCAGCCCTCTGCCAGCAGGAAGCCTCAGTATTATCCTGCAATTTAGGGCACTAAGAATATTTCTAAAAAGGAAGCTATGAAATGTTTTAATCCAAGTTCTAACTGGACCAAAACACAGAGTGTAATTTTCCCTGTTTCTGTACTAAATCAACCAAAGTTTTAAGGAGAGTTCTAAACTCATTTGTTCCTGAGTGAAATCTGACCAAGCAGATTGTAACTGGGAGTTTCTGTCTCCAATTATTAAATCCACAGGAGATTAAATGCTGCAGGAACCCCAACAGTTCCATTGTCATGACTCCATGGAGTCAAGAGGTTTGATGTCTCCATGACATTTTGATGCAAGATGAACTGTTAATTTCATTATTTCCTCAGGAGGGAAAAACTTCATTCAAATAATCTGATAGTCCACAGAAGCCACGGATTCTTGGATAAGAGCAAGCTAAAAATGCTCTTCACAACTAAGCATTTTGACTGAAACCCCAGATTTTATGCTGAACCAGAAAGCATAAACTTTTCCATGGGAAACTGATTTCCGTGTGACCTAAAAAATGAGGTCATTATTATTTGTTTTGATTTGTTAATTCTGTTTATTTTCAAGTTCTCTCCACCTTCCATATCTGGGTCTAAATTTCTCTGTAAATTGCAATATTGTACCACTCTTGTGACTCATGGGCACTCTGGAGGGCAACAACCCCCCTGAACTCTGTTCCAGAACAAACAGCTGCTGTCAAAACACAAATGAAATGCACCAAGAAATAAAAAAAACTCAAAAAACCCCACAAACTAAACATTTTTTTCTCTTCCTGGACTCAACCCATCATGAGCACAACACTGAAAATGTGTTGCTGGCTGGATTGACGTGATCTGGGTGAGAATTGTATTGTGAGCTTATTTACACCCTAGTTTTAGACATTTTTACACTTCAGGCCTGTTTGGATCTTGGATACACACATGGAGAATAATTCTCCTGCTCAGGTTCCACTACAGCATTGAAAAAACAATTAAAAACAGTTGAACACCATGAGTTTTTTTTGATTTGAGGTCAACTTCTGTCTCTCCATCCATAAGGTACAACACTACAAACTACCACTTACAGCAGGTAAAATTATTTGAAAAGACTGAAAGAAAGCATTTAGAACTTCATGGGCTTAATGTTATTTTTATTAAAAATCAAGTCTTTACTGCTGCGAATTTAACCAGTATTTTTCAAATAGACAGAAACAAGTTCCCTGTCCTGAATTGTTCTCAACTTAATGATTCTTGGTATTCTGAGGGATTCATTTCAGGTATGCCAGAATCCTCACCCTCAGTGCCTCACCCTCCCAGCACTTTCACCTTCCCAAAAATAAAACTCTGCCCAGGCTTCCTGCCCACTCCCCACCTCAGCACGGCTCCTGCTCTCTCCCCACATCTCTGTCCCACAGAGGGAATGTCAGGGATTCCCACATCCCCAGCAGCACAGGATGCTGTGGGATCACTCAGAACTCACCCACACCAAGCTCAGAGAACTCCACACCCTCCATGGCTCCCTGCTCCTTTGCATACTGCTCTTCCTCCTCTTCCTGCTTCACGGTGACAGCAAAGCTTGGCTCTGGAATGCTGCAGTCAGCTGAGGAAAAGAGGAAACTCCTTTACTGGCAATCACAGCTCCACTGGACTTCTCCCTTGCTACCCCAGAAGTTTGTGCCCACCCACCCATGCTGAGGTTGCCACACACAACCTCTCCAGCACCATCCATTCCTGCTCCTGGGGCTCTGCTCTGCCCTCCAGGGAAGTGGTTTCCCCCATTCCCCGCAGTTCCAGATGGTTCTCCACACCCTCAAGCCCTTCCACAACACTCACCATGGCCAGGTTCAGCCAGCCCTGCTCTTGCCTCCTGGTTTTCCTGCGTTTCTCTGCTGTCCCAGCTGCTCACATTGAGTTCAAACAGCAGAGCCTCTGCCAATGTCAGAAATTGTGGAATCAGATCACAGAATCCCAGGAGGGTTTGGGTTAATCTTGTTCCACCCCCTGTCATGGACAGGGACACCCCCTATCCCAGACTGCTCCAAGCCCTGTCCAACCTGGCCTTGGACACTTCCAGGGATCCAGGGGCAACCACAGGGCAATCTGTACCATGGTCTCCCCATCCTCACAGCCAAGAATTTCTTCCTCAATTATAATCCTAAAAATCAAACCTGTTACATTTTCTTATCACTCTGTTACTCCCCCTGAACCTGCTCCTTTTGAGATCCAAGAAGTTCCCTCCGTGCAAACCAGGACCATCACCTTGTGCCAGCCTCTGTCTGGTGACAGCACCACACGACCCTCACCCTCAGGATTAAAGCTTTAATTCATCCCTGGCTCGCACCTGGTTCTGCTGGGATCTCTCCAGGAGCTGCCTCCGCCTCACTGCAGGGTGCTTCCCCTCCCTGGAGCCGGGACAGGAGGGCAGGTTCAGAGATGACATCGTCTGACAAGGAACCGAGAAAGGAATGAATGTTTCTGTGCTGCATGCACAGGGAGGAACACACCCACTGCGCTCCCCAAACCTGCTCCAGCAGCTACAACACGTGGCTGGGCAGCGCGGAGAGTCCTCAAACACAGGCAGTGGTCTCACAGTGTTCCCACAAATGTGCTTCCCACATCTGGGAAAGATTCCCTAACCAGAAAGTGCTGATAACTGATCCAACAGCAACACTCACCCAGCTGGACCAGGGCTTCTCTCTTCCCTGTCAGTACCTTTCCATACAGCTCCTTCTGCCACTCCTCCAGGTTCTCCCACTCCTGAGTGGAAAAGCCGGTGGCATCGTTTTCCAGTGCCACAGCCGGGCCCTGCAATCCCAAAAGTGACACTCAGCGCCATTCCTGGAACACACAGAATCCTACTCCCTACTTATTCTTGCTACCAGGTGTCAGGGAAAGAAAATTCCTGCCTTGGGGCATCCTCTGGACACTGAGAGTAACAGTTTAGATCTTTGCTAAACTTTGGGAGATGAACTGTGTATTCCACGATATTCTTACTTCCCCCTGGAGCCTGATCCCATTGGGGACCTCGGAGTGGGGAAGAACTTCCCGCTGTTGGTAAAAACGTGACAGCCCATCCTTTTGTAGGGAAAACCAGCTGAATGTAACAATATGCAGGAGCAATCACTTCCTGCTTCGTGCCTTGGCACGACAGGCGACAGAAGAAACCTTGGCGGAGACCGTGGAATGATTTCCATGGCGGAGAGCTGCCGGGAGAGGTGAGGAGCAGAGGAACCTCTGCGCTGGTCCTGTCCCCCCCAGGCCCCTTAAAGACCCATCCGTTACCTTGGGCACCTCCACCCCGGGGGGCAGCCTCAGGATCCAGAGATTCCTGTTCTTCAGCAGGTTCTCCATGTTCTCCAGGCGCCGCTGGAGCCGCCCGTACTCCTGGATGAGGGTGCCCAGCGCCGCGCACTTGCTCTCCAGCTGGCTCCCGAACTCCCCGACCATTTTCTCGCAGTCCAGGTGCTTCTTCTCGCTGTTCCCGGCCCGGTGCTCCAGGCTGAAGAGGCGGGACGCGTGTGCGGCCACGCTGCGCTCCAGCGCCTGCACGGCCGCCACCACCGTCCACAGCGAGATGGTGCTGCCGCCCGCCAGCTCCATCCCCGCACCGGGAGCGGCGGAGCGCAGCGACGGGCTGCGACACCGGCGAAAGGCGGCCCCGGGGCGGGAAAGCCTCGCTCCGGCCGCCGCACACCGGGGCGGGGCCGGCCCGCTCCTCGCCGCGCCTCCCGCACCGCAGCCGGAGCGCTCCGCTCGCACCGGCCCTTGCCCGCCGCCGCTCCTGCCCTGCCTCGCCGCCGCCTTTCCTTGCCGCCAAGAAGCGCCGCTTCCTCTTCCTCCCCCGCTTCCGCCGCCGCCACAGCGGCCCCCGCCGGCCGGCAGCCCCCGCGGGGATCGGCAGCTGTCGGTCACCGCGAAGGGGCTGATGCTGATCGCAGTGGCAGGAAACCCCCACGGGGTTCCACCGCAGCCGATGCGGAATCTCAGAATTCCTCAATGGAAGGGACCACAGTGGTGCTGGCTCCAGCAGGGTCATCCCAGGGCACAGGGCTCAGGATTACATCCTGGCAGCTCTGGAATATCCCCGGTGAGGGAGACCCCACAGCCTGTCTGGTCTCTGCTCAGGGCTGGGCACTGCCCAGGGCAGAAGTTCTGCCTCCTGTGCCGGGGGAATTCCTGGGATCAGTCCCTGCCCATTCCTCTGGTGCCATTGCTGGGCCCTGGAGCACAGCCTGGCCTTGCTCTGACCCTCCCTGCACACAGGGACAGCCAGGGACAGCCAGTGAACATCCAGGGACACACAGGGACACCCAGGGACAGCCAGGGACAGCCAGGGACAACCAGGGACAGCCAGTGAACATCCAGGGACACACAGGGACACCCAGTGAACATCCAGGGACAGCCAGCGAACATCCAGGGACACACAGGGACACCCAGGGACAGCCAGTGAATATCCAGAGACAGCCAGCGAACATCCAGGGACACACAGGGACACCCAGGGACAGCCAGTGAATATCCAGAGACAGCCAGTGAACATCCAGGGACACCCAGTGAACATCCAGGGACACACAGGGACAGCCAGTGAACATCCAGGGACACACAGGGACACACAGGGACAGCCAGTGAACATCCAGGGACAACCAGGGACACCCAGGGACAGCCAGTGAATATCCAGAGACAGCCAGTGAACATCCAGGGACAACCAGGGACACACAGGGACACACAGGGACACCCAGTGAACATCCAGGGACACCCAGTGAACATCCAGGGACAGCCAGGGACAGCCAGGGACACCCAGGGACACACAGGGACACCCAGTGAACATCCAGGGACAACCAGGGACACACAGGGACACCCAGTGAACATCCAGGGACAGCCAGGGACACCCAGGGACAGACAGGGACACCCAGTGAACAACCTGGGACACTCAGAGATACCCAGGTACACCCAGGGACACACAGGGACACCCAGGGCTCAGGCCCCTCTCACTGGGGCTCTCTCCAGGCTGAGCAGCCCCAGCTCCCTCAGCCTTTCCTGGGCACCAAGATGTTCCAGGCCCTTCCTCAGCTCCAGGAGCTCCTGTCCCTGCTGCACTGAGGATCCAGAGCTGGACACAGCACCCCAGAGGTGCCTCCAGGGCTGGGCACAGGGGCAGGATCACCCCTGACCTGCTGGGAATGCTCTTCCCAAAGTACCCCAGGATCCCATTGGCCTCTTTTCCCCAGCACACTCCGTTGGCTCAGGGACAGCTCATTGTCACCCAGGACCCACAGTTCCTTCCCCACGGAGCTGTTCCAGCAGCTCACCCCCAGCATGTGCAGGTACCTGGGGTTGTTCCTCCCCAGCTGCAGCACCTGGGCTTGCCCTTGTTGAATTCCAGAAGTTTTATCTCTGTCTATCTTTCCAAGTTGCCGAGGTCCTCCTGAAGAGCCACACAGCCCTCGAGGGGATCAGCCACGCCTCCCTCCCAGCTCTGAGCCCTCAGCGACCCCTTCACCCGGGCCAATGATGACCCAAGCAAACAACACCGAGCCCGTCCTGCAGCCACACCCCGTGCCATCCACCCCGACCCTCCGGGAGCTGCCACTCAGCCCCTTCCCAACCCACCCCTCCATCCCTTCAGCCCACCCCTCCGGGCGCTCGGTGCCGCCCTCCCAGCCCACCCCTCCATCCTTCCGTCCATCCGAGCCACCCCTCCGGGCGCTCGGTGCCGCCCTCCCAGCCCACCCCTCCATCCTTCCGTCCATCCGAGCCACCCCTCCGGGCGCTCGGTGCCGCCCCTCCGGCGGCGTGTCCCGGCGCGGGGCCATGGCGGAGCTGCGGGCGCGCCTCGAGGCGCTGGAGCGGCGGATGGAGCGGGCGGAGGCGGCGCTGCGGGAGCGGCCCCTCGCCGCCCCGCGGCTGCACGGGGTGAGCGCCGCGAGGGGCGAGCCGGGGCGGCGAGGGGGTGGTCGCTTGTGAGGCTGAGAGCGCTTAGGGGAGTGATGGGGGAGTCACTTATGGGGTCACTGTGGGGCTGGAGGTTGGGAGCGAGACTGGGGGGGAGCACTTAGGGGCTGGTGGGAGGTCGAGGGGGAGCCTGGGTGTTGCTTATGGGGCTGTTGGAAGGAGGGATTGTGGCTGGGAAGGAGCCTGGGGATCGCCCGTGGGGCGCTTGAGGGCTGGGAGCGCTTTGGGGGGGCTCCTGAGGGGGCTGCGGTGGGTTTCGGGAGACGGGATGGGAATCCAGTGGATTCCCGGCTGGCCGGGAGCCGCCCGAGTGGCTCCTCAGGGGGCAGCAGTGGGTTTTAGGAAACTGTGGGGATGAATCCAGTGGGCTGCTGGGAGCAGGCTGGTTCAGGACATTGGGAATAAGCAACGGGGACTCCGTATGGGGTTTTGGAGCTGTTGAAGAGCTGGGGTGGGTCTGAGAGTCTGGGAGTTGTTTGGGGGAGCTGCCCTGTCCCTCATCCCAGCCGATGCTGCAGGTCCCGTTGCTGTTCGAGGATGTGGCAGTGCGGTTCAGCCGGCAGGAGTGGGCAAGCCTGAGCGAGGGACAGAAGGAAATGTACCGGAGCGTCATGGAAGGCAACTACGAGATGCTGGTGTCCCTGTGTAGGCTGCGTTTGCGCCGGTTTAGCAGCCCCAGGGAGCTCTCTTGGGGTCATTTCTCTGCCTCTTTGCCTTTCACTGGAATCTCCAGCTCTCAAATAATCCTCCCTTTTCCCTGTCCCCTCCGGCAGTGGTTGGAGTGTGGCAAGGACACGCAGGACAGGGTAGTAAGTGCTTGGTGTCTTTTTCTCTTGGAGAACAGGTACATTGTTGGTGTTGTCATCTCCCTGGGTTGTCACCTCCAAAATTCTCTGCCTGGGACACCCCTTTCCATGAGAATTTTCCCTAAAAACCAACCTGAACATCCCCTTGAAGCTGTTTCCTCTTGTCCTGTTCCCTGGGAGCAGGTCCTGATTCCCTCCTGGCTCCACCCTCCTGTCGGGAGCTGTGCAGAGCCAGAAGGTGCCCCCTGAGCCTCCTTTTCTCCAGGCTGAGCCCCCCAGCTCCTGGTGCTCTGTTCCCCTGGTCTGTTCACTTCTCTGAACACGCTCCAGCCCCTCAATGTCTTCCTTAGCATGAGGGGCCCAGAATTGCCCCCAGGATTTGAGGTGGTCCCTCAGCACTGCCCTCATGCTCCAGGCGCTTGTGCAGTCAAGAGCCTCATGATTCCCTTCTCATCATTCAGGGTGTTTTCCTGTCTGCAAGGTGAATTTCTGAGAGAGCTGGGAATTCTGTAGCAGAGGCAGAGCAAGGATGGATTTTCTTGCAGTTGTTCCCAGGGGACTGTCAGAGGTTGCTTTCCATATTCCCCTGTCAGCTCTGCCTGCTGTTTCCTCTCTGTATCCATAACTCCCGTCGTGGCCCTGGTTGGAGATGAAGTTTCCTGGGTTGGGACTGGCTCTGTTGCCCAGCTGTGGGTGCAGAGTCCCTGTCCCGTCCTGTGCCTGATGTCTGTCCTGCTCTTGCCCAGACTGTGCCCTGTCCAAGCCTGAACTGTTACTGCAGCTGGAAAGAGAAGAGCTGAACACCCCGCCAGAATCCGAGGCAGAGGCAGCAGAGGTGTCCCCAGAGCTGGCTGTAGGTGGGTGACACTGGGTTCCTTCTGTGCCACAAGCTTCTGTGGGACTGTGAATCCCAGAATTTTGCATTTGGGTTGAGAGGAATCTTAAAGCTTATTTCTTTCCAACACCCTGCCATGGGCAGGGACACCTTGCACTAGTGCGTGTTGCTCCAAGCCTTTTCCAATCTGGGACACTTCCAGAGATTGGGAGGTGTCCGCTGTGAGGGAACAGCTCCTGGGACATGTGGGTAGCCTGGAAGGTCCTGCCCCAGCAGCTTGCTGGGTGTCAGGGATCCTGGAACCTTGTGGAATGGGATTTTTCACTGGCTGCTGGTGAATTCAAATGTCCTTGTTCTCCACAGAACCAGCCCGACAGAACTGCACCAGCGATGATGCACTGCTGGAGACTGAGACAATGGAGAGGGGCTGCAGGGAGCCAGAGGAAAGTGGGAACATGGCAGAGAAAAGTGGGAACTGGGTAGAGGAAAGCAAGAACCTAGTACAGGAAAGCTGGAGCCTAGTGGGGACAAGTGGGAACCTGCTAGAGGAAATCTGGGGTGTGACAGAGGAAAACAGGAGCCCAGCAGAGGAAAACAAGAGCCCAGCAGAGGGAAACAAGAGCCCGGCAGAGGAAAACAGGAGCCTGACAGAGGAAAACAGGAACCCGACAGAGGAAACCAGGAGCCTGGCAGAGGGAAACAGGAGCCTGGCAGAGGAAAACAGGAGCCTGGCAGAGGAAAACAGGAGCCTGGCAGAGGAAATCAAGAGCCTGGCAGAAGAAAACAGGAGCCCGGCAGAGGAAAACAAGAGCCTGGCAGAGGAAACCAGGAGCCTGGCAGAGGAAAACAAGAGCCTGGCAGAAGAAAACAGGAGCCTGGCAGAAGAAAACAGGAGCCTGGCAGAGGAAACCAGGAGCCTGGTGGAGGAAAACAGGAGCCTGGCAGAGGAAAACAGGAGCCCAGCAAAGGAAAGCAAGAACCCAGCAGAGGAAAGCAAGAACCCAGCAGAGGAAAGTGGGGACCTGATGGAGGAAAGCAGAAACCCAGCGGTCCCAGAGAACTGCAGCACACGTGAATGCCTGG